AAAAAAAAAAAAAAAAAAAGAGTGTCATTTATCTTATCACATGGTTGATTGCCAAAGAGATTTTTTGTTATTCCGAACTCAACAGTGCCAGTTGAACAAGCATTTAGTGGGGTAGGATATGCAATGGACGAACAACGGTCGATGTTGACACCAGATGACTTGAAAACTCAAATGTTGTTGACTGATTGGAAGAAACCGAAAGAAGGTCACAAACGGTCATGCTAACTACAGAAGAGGATGACGAATAAGAGGCATATGATTTTATTAGTGCTAGTGAAACTGCCGAAACTGAAGATGACTATGAGACCTACGTTAAAAAAGCATTCAACACATTCTGCATCTTTTTTCATCAAAATAAAGTGAGAGAACTATGAGTACTTTGATTCTCAAGGTAAGGGATACATAGACAACATATCTGATTCCCAAGGTAAGTGATATGTAGGCAACTTATTTGACATATTATAAGCAAGGTTCTGAATGTCGAACCAGTTATCGAATCGGTGAAACTAGTTGGTTAATAGTTCACTGGTCGAACTAGTGGTCGAACCTGGTTAATTAATATATAATTTATTTACTTATTTTTTTATATGTATAATATATTACTAGTACAACACCCGTGTATTACACGGGTGCTTGTTAAAAAATTATTCTTAAATTTTAAAATTAATGAGAAAACTATATTAAATTTAGTTTACTTTTTTACAAAAAAAAATATATTACTATACATTTTAGAATGATATGTGTTATTTATGACTTACATGTGTTATATTATAATAGTTATTATAACTTATATCATATAACTACTTGAAATATAAATATATTAGTTGATAAATAATTTTATTTTTATAATTAATATTAAAAATAAATATAAGTTATTTTTTATAGATACAATATGGATGTTAAATCGAAGCTCATCAAAAGAAGATTAATTTGATATATTACATATGTAAAACTGATAAAAAATACAAAAGTTATTAACTTTTAAAATATCAATACAATTCAATAGTTATAATAAGGGATGATATTAAAATACAATTAATACATGTAATATGACCATAAATAATCAACATATTTATGGTAATCCGAACCTAATTATATTTGGTTTGGAATTAAATTAAAATTTACCCAAGCCTAATAACGAAGCATGTAATTTTGCCACATAGGATTCCAAAGCACCAGAAGCAACCACGTAGGCTCAGCGCGTTCTGTATTAATATATAGGGGGAGGGGATTGCATATTTTTATCATAATTTTATAGCCTATAATGTCATTTTTTTAAATAAGAATTTAATAATCACTATTTGAAGTAAGCAATACTAATTTAAGTAAAAAAAAAAAA